CTCCCTCCGGCCCGGACTCGGCGGGGACCACGGCCCGCTCCCGCGCGCAAATCCCGGAAACGGCCGCGTGCCCGCGATCCACGCCGGGGGAGACAAGAATGAACGCGCGAGATTCATTCCCACCGTGTGCGCCACGCGGCCGCGGAGGTGGGCGGCCCTTTGGGTCACACAGTGTCACGGTGAGTCAGTCCCGCGGTGCGGGGCGACAAACACCCCGCGGCTCCCAAAGGCAAATACCTTTTGGCCAAGTCCAGAGCCCAGCCGGACCCTACCTTTACAAATAACAGCGTTGGCGCCTTCCCTGTGCTACTTCTGCTATTAGGAGATGACCTTACCCACCGAAGGGACAAAAGTAGGTGTTGGGAAATTATGAGAACTCAGAAAATGTAGTTGGTTTAAAAGGAATACATAAAATAATCTGCCTTCTCCTACACTATAAATAGTTCAAAATATATCGGAAAATATACTATTCATAATATCCGAAAAAATTGCTGGACATGGTGGCAGACACCTGTAATCCCAGCACTCAAGAGGCTGAGACAGGAGGGTCACTGAGAGTTTGAGGCCAGCCTAGGCTATATACTGAGTTCAAGGCCAGCCTGAATTATTGAGCGAGACCCTGTCTCAAAAAAAAACAAACCAAATCAAACAAAAATACCCACAAAAATGTAAATTATCTAGAAGTAAACTTGTTAATAATTATGTAGGGGGCTGTGGATTTAGCTCAGTGGTTCCACTGCCTGCCTCACAAGTGCAAGGTCCTGAGTTCGATCCCTGGTACCAAAAAAAAACAAACAAAATAATTATGTAGGGCCAGGCTTGGTGACACACATCTATAATCCCAGCTACTCAGGAGGCTGAGGCAAGAGGACCAAAAGTTCTAGGCCAGCCTGGGGATCTTAGAGAGGGCTGGGATGTAGAAAAGACCAACACTAACTGAATATTGTCTAGGTGTACTCAGAGATGTGAGGAAACTTTTTTTTTTTTTAAAGATCTGAGAGTGACGACACATACCTGTAACCTCAGCTACCTGGGAGGCTGAGGCAGGAAGACTGAAAGTTCTTACTGCACAATTCAGTAAGACTGTTCCAAAATAACATAAAAAGGATTGGTTCTGTGGTAGAGCACGTGCCTAGCATCGTGCGTGAAGCCCTGGTTCCATCCACACACACACAGGACCTATCATCACGCTCAGATTTCCCCAAGCAGGAGTCAAGGAGATGGGATGGGGGAGGGGTGACCCACGAGGAAGTACAGAAATTAAAGAAACTGGGCGTGGTGGTGCTCACCTGTGATCCCAGCGCTCAGGAGGCTGAGGCAGGAGAATCCCAAGTTCAAGCCTGGCCTGGACAACTTCATGACTCACCAAGACCCTGTCTCAAAATAAAAGATGAAAAAGGGCTAGAGGCGCAGGTTAGTGAGTAGGCCCTAGGTTCAATCCCAGAACCACCAAAAATAAAGTGAAAAGGAAATAAACCCTGCTCACCGGTGCCCTGCAAACAGGAGACAGCCCAGCCCGGCCTTCCATGCAGCTCTTCTTTTCATCACTTTAACGTGGTTTTTACACCAAGGCACCGGTGCACGGAGAGGACAGTAACAGATACCCTGTCCGCGTGAAGCTCCCCTCCATCAGGAGTAACTCTAGGTGCTGTGTTCATTCATTGAACCCTCACAACAATCCAACACAGTGATGAACTTTGTGGGAAAGGAGACTGAGGCATGGGGGGTTAACTCATTTCCCCCAGGAAGCAGGGTACCAGAATCTTACTGTCTTAACCACCAAGCCAGACCAGAGAGAGACAGACAGAAGCACAAACAGATACAAGGGCAGAGACAGACAGATCTCATAGCTATATATATGTGAGATCTTATAGCTATATGTTTTGTGCATGTAGATGCATACATTTATATAACTGGGCTGGGGATTTAGCTTAGTGGTTCCACCACCTGCCTCTCAAGCACAAGGACCCAAGTTCAACCCCTGGCACCCCCCAAAAAAAAGTGAATTTATGTAACCTGCTGGGTATGATGCTGCACACCTATAATCCCAGCACTCAGGAGGCTGAGGCAGGAGGATCACAGTGAGTTTGAGACCAGCCTGCGCTACATAGCAAGATCCTGTCTTCAAAAAAATGTTTATTCAACTGCCTCATTATTATTTTTAGTATGTAGTTAAGTTTACTGAAGATTGAGGAGCAGCCTCAGGACTGGGCAGAAGGGCGAAGTGGGCAAAGGAAGAGCTGAATTATTGCCAGGGTAATCACATCCTCATGTCTTTCAATATATATTTTTTTCAGTACCAGTGATCCCTGATCGAACCCAAGACCTTGCGCCTGCCAGGCAGGTGTGGCACCACTAAGCTACACCCGTGGCCCTAATCTCCTTCAACATTTATCATTTCCGGGCCAGGGATGTAGCTCAGTGGCACTGCACCTGATGAGCAAGATCCTGAGTTCGATCCCCAGTAGTGGGAAAAAAAATTTATCATTTGCATTAGGAGCCTACAGACTCTTTTCTAGCTCTTTAAAATATATAAGAAGCTGAGTGATGTGGCAGATGCCTGTAGTCCCAGCTACGCGAGGCTGAAACAGCATCGCTGGAGCCCAGGAGTTGAGACCAACCTGCGCAACGTAATGAAATAGATATGGAATCACCGTAACCTACGCTCACCTACTGTGCTGCCCACTCTCCCTTCTTTCTCTCTGCTTCTGTTTTGGGGGCTCCCTCCATCTCCCTCTCCCGTTACCTTCTACTCTCTACTTAGTGTTTCCATCTCCAAGACAGCTTTCTGCACTTGGCTCAGGGTCCAGCCCCATCCCCAAGCTGCTTTTTTTTTTTTTTGAGACAGGGTTTCCCTATGTAGCCCAGGCTAACTCACAACGATCCTCCTGTCTCAGCCTCCGGAGTGGAAATGCTGGGATCACAGGTATGGACCACCAAACCCGCCTGAAGGTCAGTTTCTTAAATCCGCTAGTCTGCGGGTAGGAATCCCAGGCCGACTGAGAAGAGAGGGCAGGGAGTGAAAAGTCTGCCCGCGGCATTTCAGCGACCTGGCCCATCCCTCGCCCAGAGCCGGGAATGCTGACAGTACTATTATGAAATCATTTGCGTACTATGAAGTGCTTTGCATACGAGGGCACGATCTGCTGGCGGGGCGCATCCTAGCGGTCCCGCGCAGAATCCCGGGGTCTCCCCCTTCTCCGGGAACCTCACGAGGGCTTCCACTCGGACACGGGCGGAGCTGCGCGCCTGGTAGGCGGACGGAGCTGGGCCTGAGGTAGGACGAGTGCCCTCCGCGGTGGGCACAGCCCCATCCGGTCACAGCCCTGTCCCGCCGAGCACCCGGCGCCC